TGGGGGGGGGGGGGATGGGGGGGCAAGGAAAAAATGCGAATAACAATAGCACACTTGATCCCTTCTTAAATTGAAACACTTCTAATGCATTGTGAGTGAGGGTGTATATTTTAGCTGAAATTAGACCCAATGACAAACAGTAAAATAAAACTTCAACATTCAATTGCCTGCAACTGTGAGCGTAACTTTTAACTGATTTTAACCAAATAACAAACTATCAAAAACAGAACTGCTACATTTAAAAGGACTTTTTTTTATAAATCCACAAACAAACAAACCAATCAAGCCAAGTAAGATTACATTTCTAAATTTTCTCCACATACCTATCATAACAAACAACAAAATAAAAAGCAATTAGTACTCCTACAATTTACCTTGTACAAACCCATGTTTGAACCTGTTTTTGTCCCTTCTTAACTTTGAAACGTGACAGTTGGATCTGTTCTTTTATGTTTTCATGTAACAACATATCTATGTATAGATTCAGAGTAACGTCTTTTATTTCATACCATCAATTCTTTTCAAAAGAAAGCAGGTGTGGACCAGTCTCACCTGCAGTTACTGATAGGAGAGAAAATAATGAGTAAGTTTTAAGGGGGCTCTGTTCACATACAATGTACATGTATGGATTCAGTCTTATTACACTCATGGTTCATAATAAGCTGATGTTACATTCATAGTCAGCACTAATGCGATTACTGTGTTGAATGGAGGACTTAAAGGACCTGAATAATAGATTTCAGATGGCTGAAGATCAGATATTTTTAACAAAATTGAAATTTCAGGATAAATTTATTCAAATGAATATTGATTTTGATTGAATTTTGTTTGTACATAGAGTGTATAATGTCCAGGATATGGTTAAACAATCAATTATGATCAACTATTATAACCACAATCAAGTGTTCTTGTGTGGTTACAACATCAAATCATATCACTATCAGTGTGAAGGTACATTTTGTACAAGTGTGAAAAAGAATCAAAAATAGATGCATTCTTGATTTGACTTAAAGGGTGAAGGGCGAAAAGGTTTGCAATGTGAATTAACGGTTATACTATGGCTAGAATGATCTAGAATGAGGTGCTAAACTGCTGGTACTCATTATGCTTAACAATGCTGATCAATATTAGCAGGACTTTAACAAAGGGGTCCAAATAATACTGCTTCATACGGTTTTTAATTACCACTCATTTTAGATGCAACAGATGGACTCTTTGTGAAAAATATATGTTTAAAAACATTCCCCTTTTTTAATTTTAACAGGTAACTTTTTAGCATAGCACCGTGACAATGTTTCCATCTGCACAAGCCTTTGACCTTCTCTTATTTAAATTGAGAAATGTCATCCTTCCAGGACATGTTTTTCTAGGACAACAATGGAAACATACGCTGAAATCAAAGCGCAAAGGGCATTTTTTGCATTCTTGTTACCTGAAACTTTTCAAGTGAGAAAAAAAAACTTGTAGGTTTTTCATTTACTAACAATACAATGTAGCTTCTAGTGGGTATCATACAAATAGTGCATTACTATGGCAGAGTTCTTTTTAAGGGCTCACTTTGTGTCTGTCAAATGGTGTCAAAGACCTGTTGATGCTCAAAATCTGTTCTCATACAAAGAAACTTATTAATACGGGCTTGTATTTACAGCAGTACTTGAGTGACAGCTCTTTACATGATGGTTTCTTATAATCATAAATGAATCTTTTTTTTAATTTTATCATTAACTAAAATGATCAGGAGAGATTACGGGGACCTCATGTTACATAGGATAGTCTGGCTTTTGTATAATCAACTCATCCACTTAGAGATAATCCGTCCTTTGCCCTGTAATGATTTTATGGTCAGTTCACGTGCATGAAGGACACTTTACGTCCTATACACATATATATGTACACATATACACAGCAGAGTTCAAGGCTTATCTCGTTAGCATTGTGATACTTGGGGATTTGTGTGCTAGTCTCCAGATTTCTCCATGACTCGGGTTGGCAGGTCCGCAGATCAATAATGGATAACCAACTGCTCAACCTTGGTATGGATTTTGTAGACTCCTTTGCATGCTCAGGGAAGTATATAAGAACTGAACAAAAAAATCTATACATCTCAATTTAAGCATCTGCTGAAACTGATGAGATGGTCACACGAGGGGCGTATTTTCATCCAATTTCTTTGCAATTTTGCAAAATCACACTGCCTGGAAGCAAAATTCTGCAAAGGAATGCAACAGAACAATTGTCATTGATTCCTTTACAGAATGCTTGCCATATTAAAGTTGCCATGTCAAATATTTGAAATTAATAAAGCAGCCTACTATGGGAATTTTGTCATGCATGCCCTTTAAAATACCCATGACTCTGAGCAATTCCAGACTTTCCTTGTATGATACAATGGAAAATTTAGGTAATAAAGAAACCATCACTCACACAATATATCATCTTACTGATGTAATAAAAGAATATTGTGAAATATTTGTCATGCATTTCTCCTCAAATCTGACTTAAAGCATAAATCATATATAAATATGCTATTAAGTATCCAATTTCAGCTGAAAGTTTTAACTCACCTTCTATCATGTTCTCCATTCACTATGACTAAAGGCGTGTTTTCAGTCTGCTTATTCCTTTCATCTTTAGGCAAACTTGACAAAGATTGCCCTTTGACTACAGAAGCGTCTTTTACACCACTGTCACTGGGAGCCATCTCCCTATCATCTCCCTGGGGCCTTTGAGTCACTTTTGAAGTTTTCATTTGGACGAAACCGGTGCTCAGCATGGTGGGATCTTTCAGGTTGTTGTTCTCCTTAGTTTTATCACCACTTTCACCACTACCTCTGCTACTATAACCCTCTGCTACATCCGACGTTGCAATGGCAGTTTTTAATGTGGTGGTGCCTGCCAAATCACTGTCAGTCATAGCTCCCCAAGCCTACACCTGAAATTTGTAACATGTATAATAATGAGGTCATGTATACATGGTGCTGAAAGGGGAGGATCTTAGGGCATGTTTTATTTAGGGAGAGACCATGGGAAAATACTTCAATTATTAGCACCTCATGCTGCATGCACCCTGAGTTTTAAAAGGCATTAGAGATTCCCCTTCTACTACTGGGAGAGGCCTGCTGACAGGAGAGAGGCATATTTCCACTTTTCTCTGAAACTCAGGGCGACTTCTATATTTGGTTCATTAACACCATTTTTCCTCTTGAAATATTAGCATTAATAATTTAGTGTACAACGCTAAGTACTGATGAATGTTAGACAGCAAATGATACTCAGCTCTTCAATCAATATTATTGATCACTGTATATTATTTTCTGCCAACAAACATCCATTACAAATTATTGACATTAGGTATATTTTGGTTAAACTCTGCCCCACCTTTTTCAAAACTAAGGATTACACATTTATCTTATCCAGCTTCACATGAGTATATTTCAAATTTGTAACAGAGATTATAATGTTAAGTATGCTAAAACCAATGCCTCAGATAATTGTCTTTTCCAATTGTTTCCTTTATCATATTTACAAAAGTATAAGGCAATTATGATCAGGCAATCAAAATGATAAAAGTAAAGCCTACGTAAAATGTGAAAAATACTGACTTGTTGGATCCTAGCTTGTACATTTTAAGTTAATAACTTTACTAATTTTTTTTAATTATACCATTTTCAAATTAACTTTGATGCAATATCAACAGACTAACACATATTTCATTAACTTTTTGAATATACACACATACATACTGTAGGCAAATTGTATCAATTTATTGAATTGCATTGAATGACAAATGGAGGAGTATCCATAACACTTAATTTTGAAGTCAAGATGATCAAATGAACTGGCATTGGAGTGGAAATGACAAATAAAATTATTTATACTACATCCTCCAGATATACATGTCATTCTCAAAAATACTAGTAGATCCAATTTGACAGGATGTCCCCATTATCATATATCTTAGGCACTGCTGACCATGGTGTGTAATTTAAAAATATTCCACATACCATAACCAGAGGTCATAAATAATGTTATATAGATATTAGAGTCACATGCTGTTTATATACATATATATATATGGTCGATATATAGAAGTATGTCACACTTCCCATCAACTTGGTTCAACCTCACTCGTAACAAGCTTTACGCTTTTTCTTCCTATGCCTTTTTTGACCCCTCTCTATCCAAATATCAATAGTTATCCAATTAAATAAAATGCTGCACTTGATTTGTAACAAGAAAGACATGATTAATTTTTCCACCTTGTTCTTATTTTGTCTAAGGAACTGTTCAAAATAAATTTTATGGGCCTATTTACTGTGTACTAAATCCAATGTGATTCTTGCTGAACACAATCAGATAAAACAGATTAGAATGTCTCCTGGCGTTGAGTACATTACAGAAAAACTGGTGATTATACGAGTACATTGAAAACAAGAGGAAGCGTCTTAGTCTATCAATCTGTTTGCATTCAGCAAGAGTCCCCATGGGCAGTCCCGAAGTGGCAGACTATGGATTTAATATCACAGAAGTGGACCAAGCTTTTCATCTTAAAGTTGAGACCAATTTCCAGGATATATTAATAATGTGAAGCCAGCCAGATGGGTGTGGTCAAGTTGAATAGACCAAACCCTATTTGAAACTGGACTCATAAGTAAGCCTTTAGCTTTCACCAAATAAAAAAGATGAACTGCCTTGCTACTCCAGGCTTCATTGTATTAAAAAAAAAGTTTTTACATCACTCTTCTGAATGACACTGAGTTTTATGCATGTCCTGGGAGAGGGGGGAGGGAGAAGGCGAGGGGTATTTGTGTAGGAATGCCTCATGTACTCTGGCTAAATGAATGAAATCTACAGAAAAAAAAAAGAAACATTTGGGCCTTAAAATTAGAGCAATAATTGGAAAATGTGCTAAATATGGCAACACTTCCTTGTTGTAAACAAATTACCGGATTTCAATTAAAGTGAAAATGAGAAGCATAATCTTAAAGTTTTCCTTATCTATTTATAACTGTTCACTTTTTTTGCTAAAATCAGAATGCAATATTTATCACTAATTTGATACGCAAAATTAAAATCCACTCTAATTCTGTCAACATAACCGAAGTCCGATTCCAATAACTTATCAGTTATTTAGGTTCAAAGAACTAAATTGATAATGATAACGATAATTTAACTTCATTATGATCAAACTTTATGAATGAGCCTGATATTAATAACTTTCAACTAATGTACATCAAAGTATACCGATGAGAATAGTAATCAACGGCGGAGAACTATTATATCAACCAGATAATATATATTAGCCAAACCCAAATCGAGGAAAGGGGTGGATACTTGTTCGAACTGTTTACACACTGGCAGTTCAAACATTCTAACTAGGTTTTGTTTTAGTGCAAACTACATACACTGTATCTATTTCAAATTTAAATCAGCATTAATATAACCTTGTCTTCGACTCACTTTGTGAGGTTGCCCTCTCATTTATGCTGGTTGATGATCTCCAAAATACCAATGTTCACACACTCTCCTTGTGTAGACTGGGAAAGTTTTCATGAATGTTTACATCAAGACTTTGATGCGTGACGTTGTAGTCTCGTACGATCTCGTATAGTTTTAGCAGATAATAAAGATTTTAAACTTTTTAAAGGAGTTAATATGTAATATGTAAACGCTTTAGATTTACTCTGGCACTCAAAATGTCCATTGATTTCGGTTACTGAAAATTCTGTGCACCACAAAAGTTTAATTGGGTTACTAAATCCCAAAAATTAGAACGAGATTTCCAAACCGAGGCCTCACCTGGATCTGAGAGGTGAAGACGCTGTCAGCTGTTTTGTTATCAGGTAAATCTCCGTTTTCTTGAAACATAATCATAAGGGGCATGCATCTGCTATACTGATGTGAACTTTGTCAAAATCTGCACCAAATGAATGGTTTTGTATTGGTGCCTTCCCATAGTTTTGTTCTTACTGAGTATGCAAATTTCCAACCACAAAACGAATTACCCAAGTTTGTACCCACTCGAGGAATACGTAAACAAGATAGAAGATAAAAGTCTAATTCTTGTTTAAAATAATTTCTTGCATTAATGTTAAAAGTTTATAAAAGATTGCATGTCAAAGCAGATTTAAGTTTAGTTTGGTTATATAGTCAAGTTATTTTAGAAATTATGGGAGTTAATCACAGCAAGTGATTCCCCGGGCCCAGACAGGTGTAGTATTGTACAGGTATATAACACAGATATAAATTATAATTAACGAGCTTGGGAAAGAATTAATTATTGTTTCAAGTTCGTACTGTATGTTCCAAGGTGCAAAACATAAACCCTCATGTAAACCCTCATTGTACATGAGAGTTGCATGTCTTAACCTGACTTTCCAATGTTTTATCTTGCATAAATTTTATGGAAGTTAGACTTCAAGATTTACGTACATTTTGTACATATCATTGTGTTTTATGGGCATTTACCTAAAAGCTCTCTATTTCTGTGATAAGTAAATGCTTTTTAAAATAATTCTTCTCACAATAACATACTTTTTCAAAGCTTTAAAGAAAGCTTGATTTATATGTGATGTCCCAAGCCTATGACCAGCAGTTTCAAAGGGGGCAGGGGGGTATTTTTCTAAAAAAAAAAAAAAGGTGGCCCTTTTTATTATGAATTAATGAGTGTTGTTAGAACCTAGAATAAAATTGAATTAAGAGAGGGCCCTTTCTTGAATAAGAAGAGGGCTTATCTGGAAGAAACATGAAACTTTCCTACCAACAGGACTGAGCTGCTATTGGATAATTAAACATACAATTAATATTTGTATTTAAAAAATTACCCTTTACCAATGAAATAAGACAATTATAAGTGAAGGACAAAGATAGGGCTGATAGTGGAGTATTTGACCTAATTTATTTGTTTATTAAGAGCCTTTGAATAAAATATATATTTATAAGTTTTGTTCTTAACAGTCCCAGGCTGGGGTAGCGCTAACACTTGCCAATTTAGCAAAATGCTAAAACTTACTTAAATTGGCTAAAGAAAAAGGGCTTGATTTGACTTGTTTTAGTCAAATTATAACCATTTTGATAACAAATTAACAAAAAATTGGTGATTTGGCTAAGCGAAAAAAATTGCGCTACCCCAGCCAGGTATGATATGGCAGTTTTACAGTGTACAGTAATCTACTATCAACTGCTTGTATAAATATAGAGAATCTACAATTCAACTTGTATCTGGTATCAAGCACATACTGATTTTGAAAATGTATGCTATGATTCAAATGAATATGAGAATTAGAAGAGACTGGTACACCTTCTGTGAGGAACAAAGGTAGATGATCTGATAAGAAACCATAATATGCAGATTTTTATTGGAAGGTTACCTGGTATCAGCAATGGTCTGCATAGCATTTTGCCATTCATTCTTGAGCTTCAAATTTGTAAATCAGTATCATGTATTTGTTGGATTGATATGAGTGAGATATCAATTTAACAGGATGTTTTTCACTCTTGCATATATTGTGATTTATATCTTGGGTTCTTTGTCACAGGTGATTGATTTTCTGGTTCCCTTTGCATTTTTACTTTTGCAAAACAGCCCAATAAAACTTTTTTTTTTGCTATGTAACACATATATGTCGGTTCATAGTGACTAACATATTTAATAGTATATTAGTTAGAAAATACTATAATTGAGTACTAGTTAATTTGTCAGACAATGATATCTTTTTATAATAATTCACCCAAATTTTGTCATTATAAAAAGGACCTCCGCAATTTGAAGTATGTTTTTCTAGATACATTTTCATGGTAAAACTGATCGTGTTTTTATAGGATAATCTTGATATTCCTGGATGGCCTTTTGCTGTATTTATCTTATCATATTTATAGCTCAAAGGTGCAGCATATACTTCTTGCGTAGGAATATATATTTTTTCATATGTTCTATGTGTATATCAAATGTTTGGCTTGATCTAGTTTTGAACAACTTCATCTGTTTTGAACATCTTTTCCCTTTTCTATTTGGTACTTTATGGTAGCTTTTATAGAAAAATGATGGCTTATTCAGAGAAAGTAGAAGAAATCCATGTAACATAACTTCCAGTTTAGATATAAGTGTTGTTATCATTTTCCAGATCTGACAAGATGGCAGAGGCACATGCTGCTGTGGCTTTTTCTTTTACTATCACTCATGAGGGAGTCAACTTCGATGTGAACCATGATGCCCTCCATGCTGTATGGGAGAGTGGGGTTCGATCATGGAAGAAAAGGATTGCCAGATTCAAGGTAAGTATTTCAGATTTTTAAAAACAAATTTCATTGTCTTTATGGTAGTTATGATTAACCACCAAAGAGGCATGTTGCTGAAAAGATGTTGCTTAGCTGTTGCTGTTGTTTACTTAAATGCTATTCTTACTGTACAAAGAATTACATTGAAGAGTTACATGTTTAAATATTTTTATAGAACTTCTAAGAATATGGTACATAGACCTATTTATCATATATATTTATTTAAGAACCGCCTCATCAACATCATGTATCCAGCAGCCCCCATAAGTTGGGTGTTTACTGTCAGCATTGTCCTGGCTTTTGTTCTGGCCAAGGTGGATGTTTCTCTGGGGCTTATAGATAGTATCCAGAGTGGAATGCCTGGGTAAGTTGAAGTTTGGCGAGAAGTGACACTTTGGTCCTTATTTAATGAACAAATATTCTTTTTTTTTTTTCAGCTACTAAAATTATAATAGAAATTATGAGATTATTGCATTAATTTCTAAGATTCTTATTGCCAGTTTTTAAAATGTTGATGTTCACCTTAAGTTTTTTTTAGTATTGGGTAAAATTGTTAATGTACATCCAGTTTTTCTTTTAGTTGGGAAAGATAATGTTAACAATGCTACATTGTGTACCATGATCCAGTCAAGATTAATTTGATGGTATTTGTTCTGACAGCATTTTGTCATATAAATAAAGAGAGCAATTTTCACTGAAGTGATCAGATTTTTCCCCCCAACATTTTCCCTTTTTAAGTACGGTAAAGTCTTGAAAATTTCGTCGTTCTTGAAAATTTCGTCGGCAGACGATTTTCCGCCGACGTAATTTTTTTCCCTTTGAAAACTTCGTCGACCTTGAAAATGAGGTACTCGATAATTTTTGAAAAGTTCGTCACCAAATATGGCCGCGTTGTCCAGCTCAAACATGAAGGTAATGCGTCAGTTGATTCAAGACAATGATACGATCAGGATATCATTGCTGATAACACTCTCAATGGGAGATAGGAACAATAGTGCGCCCCTGCGAGCGGTTACTCACAATATAGATGGTTTAGATGTGAATTCCCGTTCTCAGTTGCGGGAACGTCGGCCTTTTGTCTTTAGTTTCATTACTATTACCTGGCTTAAGGTGCGTTATCAAGCCGGTAAATAGAAGTCACAGGCCGCGGCTTTGTCATTTGTAACGCCGTTATTGTTATCGGCGGCTGTCCTAAATGAGGAAGACACAATGAAAAAATCAAGATATTATCTCGAAGTGAAATGTATCCGTCACTTCTATTCATGTCCATGTTCAATTTAGGACCATTTAACGATTACCTGGCTTGTACATGGAGATCGTTCGCAATGCGAATGGGACGAGATGGCAATATTCATATCTTCAGCGGAGAATCGTTCGCGTAATATCGTCAACAGATCGTTCGCGATCCAAACGAAACGAGAAGATAATTTTCATATTTGTAGCGGACTCCGTTCGCGTAAGATCATCAGCGGGAGATCGTTTGCGATTTGAGAGAGACGAAAAGGCAATCTTCATATCTTCAGCGGCAGATCGTTCGCGATGTAAGCGAGAATAAAATGCACTTTTCATATTAGTTCAAGGGAACCTCGTTTGTGGAAGATCGTCAGCAGGAGATCATTATTTTAACCCTCCCTCCCCCTTTGAATTTTATAAATAATATATATTTTTCATTTTATCATTAACCCCCCTTCCCCCGCTCACGGCATATCTTCAGTGGAGAATCGTTCGCGTAATATCGTCAAGACTTTGTTTGCGTAAGATCGTCAGAGGGAGATCGTTCGCGATCCGAGCGAGACGAAAAGGCAATTTTCATATCATCATCGGGAGATCGTTCGCGATGTAAGCAAGAATGAAATGCANTTTTCTTCATAAAGAAGTCTTTTAAGCCATGTAAAGTTTAGGGCCTTGGTAAAATTTTTATTTGCGGTACCTTTACCGTCCATTTTTGTAATCAGACACCATCCTTGCTCATTTTATTTTGTATCTTTTCCCATTCCTGATAAAGTTAAATATGATATGCATATTTTAAGTATTGAGGGAGGGGGGGGCTGGTAGGAGAGTTTATACATGCCCTACGTAAGATGAGAAATACTTAAGGTTTAACCACTGTTGACTTTCCTATTATTGAAAGGTTTCTCAGAGACCAGATTTCCAAGATATTTTTCATTTTGTTCAATATTTTCTAAAAAGTTTTTTCACATTGTATTTTGTCAGTTTCTATTCTCTACCAAGTAACTTAAATACACCTGCATGGTTCTATTTTAATTCTATTTGTTAATCAATGAAGTTCAAAAGTTTCTGTTCACACCCAAAGGCCGTTAGATGCCATATCTTACTTCCACCAAGGCTGCTCTACAACAATATAAGAGTATTCTTGCGAGATGAACATATCTGAATCAGCACTACGTTGCCATGTCATCAGGTACCATGTGCTCACTCTGGTTGGACTTGTGCGGAACATTGGGCCTAAGTTGACACATTTGCCAGAAGCTATGGACTTGTCCAGAGTTGCTCCAGTGTGCATGTAGGTGCAGATGTAGAGGCTGACAATGTGCAAGGGCAAAATGCACTGTAAATTGCACATACAAGGGAGAATTAACTATTATTATTATTATTATTATTATTATTATTATTATTATTATTAACTATTGCAAAGTTTTATAAAGAGTCGTAAGGTGATAAAAGCATGGAAATGGCTGGTTACTTATTTTGAAAATGCTGCCTTAAGTATCTGCATTGGCAATTTATTTGATCGGATATGTGTAAACACACAATTGGTTCAACTTACTGGATTAAAAGTATGAACATCTTGCTCAAAAGTGTAATTCTTAGCTAGTATTATAGATTTGCCTTACTTAATAGACTAACGCAACTTTAAATGCTTGTTGCTAGGGTAATATGCTGCCTAGCAATCGTGGCTAAGGTTAATTTGGGTTTTAATTGCCTTAAAATAGTTTAGTGATAGTTCTGATGCCCTGAAACATATTTATTAGCATTTCTAAACCATTTAAACTGGACAAGAAAGGTCTAATTAGCTTGTTACTAAGGAAATTCACTTCCATAGCAACGGTTGCTAAGCAACGCTTTGAAATTTTGGGCACTGCCCTTGAAAATGATCAGTATAGACCAAAGAACATTTGTGCCAAGTTTCATGCTTTTTCCACATTTTGAGCAATTTCGCCAAAATATAGCACCAGTCATCCAGACTATATCTTCTATCTCACAACAGCATGGTCTGGGTGTATGTGCATATGTCTAAAGCATGAGGGGCATAAGTTGTTGTTGTCCTGGCTATAAGGTTAAAGAGAGATGAAAGTTTTTATATAAGTTAATTTATTAAAATGATTGTTAATAGTCAAGTTGAAAAGAACTTAAATCAGTTAATGCTAAAAAATGATGTTCATTTCAGCAAAATGTATTTTTTGTATTTTTTCACGCCATTTTTTTATATACTGTTCCTAAAAGGATGATATTTATTTTTCAGATCCTGCTGAATGGTACTGTTCCCCTGTGCTCCCAGCAGTATGAAAGACAGTTCAACTCTGTTAGATTGCCTGGTGTGGAAACAGGTGAGTGTGTGGCATATAATTCCAGAAATTGTATAAAATTTAGTCCTCAGACTTCATTACTTTTAAGTAAATTAAGTAGATTCTGTAACTGGGCAATTTTTTCTTCTCTTTTGTGTTATCTGGCGAAGTCGAAGTTAGATCAGCTTATTTCTTGAAAAATGTGCATAAACAATAAATATGATTATTCAGGTGGTTTGAAATTTATTTTCATCAAGTCTGAAGAGATATTTTTACCTTTCATTTTCTAGACAAGTTGGTTCATTGGTACGACTCTCGCCACATAGTGGTCTACCACAAGGGCTGTTACTACAAAATGTATATCCATTACAAGGGCAGACTGCTTAATCCTGCTGAGTTGGAATTGTAAGTTTTAGTGTCAAGAAAAAAATGAATACTACTACATCATTTTGTTCAGCAGCATTTTCATTGTTTTCTGCAAATTTTCGTTACTGATAGATTTATTCTCAGAAGTTCAAATAACTTTTAGTTTCACATGATATAAGGCACAATCTTATGTATTTTTATTGAGATGTTTTTTGTTTTGATGAGACTGTGGAATGCTTTTAAATCTTTTCAAAGCTATTTTAATTTTTGTTACCAGGAGCTTTAAAAAGATCATTGAAGATAATCATGAGCCTGCTAAAGGTGAAGAAAAACTTGGAGCCCTAACTGCTGGAGACAGAATTCCATGGGCAAAAGCAAGGAAAGAATACTTTGGAAAGGGTGTTAATAAGACTTCTTTGGATTCTATTGAAAAGGTAAAAAGGAATTGAGACAATGGAGTTTGAATGGTGGCAAAATTATTAGATTTACTAGAAATTCATTTATTTGGAAATATAGGAACATTGTATTTTAAACTCATAAAAATTTGCTTTTAGCACACATAAGTGTGATTTGGAACTTACAATAAATATGTCATTAACGTTGTGAAAAAAATAAATAGTTTTTACAAAAGTACAATTCAATTTTTGTGTGATATTTATTTTTCCAGTCTGCATTTGTGGTAGTGTTGGATGATGAACCAAGATACATTGATCTGGTGAGGAGAAATACACGAGAATTTAACTTGAATAAATAAATGAGTAAAAGTATTTCTAGAACAAATATTGTTTTTTCATAAATAAAGTACCTAAGATTTGCTTTGAAATGACTCCTGGGAAAAGTGTAGGATAGATTACAAAGCAGCGTCCTAATTTCAGTGTTTCAATATAAGCTGTTGAATACCTGTATAGGTGGGATTTTTAACTTAAAACGCTTTGTTTTGCAGAATGAGCCCAACAAGTTGAGTTCTTGGGCCCGTGCCATGCTGCATGGAAAAGGCTATGACAGATGGTTTGATAAGACTTTCAATCTTATCATCAGTGCTAATGGCAGGGTGAGTATGATGCTTTCAAATTTTTAACACCTTGGTGTGTGTGTGTGTTGTACTTTTATTTGCCTAGATTCTTTTATTTTTTGATTTAGTCATCATTTTTCATTGACTTTATTCTCTAGATAATTTCCAGTTTTACAGTGTCAACAAATATTTTAATGCCCAGTATTTGAGAATTCACAGGATATTTATGTGCTCACTTAATATACATGTGTTAAATAGATGTTTCATATGTGAAATATATATATATATATAAATGTTTCTATAATTCTAGATTGGATTCAATGCTGAACATTCCTGGTAAGTGTGTCAATTGTCAAAGAGAGTTGTCATTTAATAAGCAGTGCTTGTTCATCATTTATAAATGTCAAAAAAATATACTCCAGCAAAGTTTACCATTAAAATTGATATAAAATTGATATAACCTGTTCAATACAGCTGAGATAAAGGCAGTATGCCACAGAAGAAACTTACGCAGCCTTTAAGTATTCTGAAGTAGTGTTAAATGTGATTTTTGATAACATAATTCATGTATATTTATATGTGTATTTTTGTAATCATGTGGTTTTGATGTTTCTTAAATTGTCTCAATAAAGTTAGTGTAGACACTAAATTCTGTGTTTTAACCAATTGAAATTATAGAGTACTTTACTGAGATGATTATATTATGGGTCATAGTGAAGTGCACCTTTCTTACTTCTGTTTGATTTGTGGATTTTACTTATGTTAACCAAACTGTCTTTGTCATCATCTGTATGCATTAGACATTTTCAACTGCATATCTGCAGTGGATTCAACCACCAGTGATTGCAATTCATATATGGTGTTTTCTGCAGATCAAATCTTGTGAATAATTGGCATTTTCCAAGTAGATTTTCACCCCCTGCTTGTCCAAATAGATGTTCTTTACTTTTGCTACTGATTCTTAGGGCTGATGCTCCAATCATGGCTCATCTGTGGGAATATGGAATAAGTGAAGATATAGCTCATTTAGGGTATGAGTTGCCCTTTAATGTACACAATTTTGGTGGGTTATACATACTAACATTCAAGCTTGTGTGTGTGCAAGACCTTTGGATCTGGTTACATTTTGTTATATTTTGGTAACGGGCCCTGGAAAAATACCTTTGTGAGAATGTGTATACATACTCAGCAGGCTTTTTACTGTTAAGTATGGATACTGTCTTGTCACACACAAGAATCTATGCATGGTTATTGAAACATTTTTGTTATTATTATTATTATTTATATTTGACACAGCATTTATCATCTGTATTTGCACCCCTTTTTGCATTTCTTTTCTTGGTAACAACTCTCCAGTTTCTGTGGTGGATGTAACTGTGGTGTAATTCTGCGGATTAAAATTGGTCAAATGTGGTACTTCAATACCTCGACAAATGGATCTGAATAAAGATCTAGAATTATAGTTATACATAACAAAAGCATGTTATTTTGCAGTACTTATTTACTGCTGAGCATATGTTTTGTCCAAATTGATCAATCTTTGTGGTCACTGATAACATTTTTGGTTATAAAATTGATAGATGTTTTACAACATTTTATGACATTATACCCAAGATGTCACAAACCATGCATTTTGTTTGTTATGCTGTATAGAAGGTATTGAAGGTTTTGCATTGATCATTTTCAAGCATGCACTTTCTGTCTTTGCTTTTCTTGTTGCTTTTTCTGTCCCTTGTGCATGATTTATCTGTTCTCTGAGTTTGTTCAATTTTGTTAGTATTATGTGGGTTTTCTTTAGGGCTGATGCCCCCATAATGGCTCATCTGTGGGAGACTACTATGGCTATAGATACAGAAACTGGGTAATTATAAAATACCTGTCAGTACTGTTCAAGGTCAAGGGTGCCTCCAGAGGAAACTTATCCATTGCTACTTCATCACATCGGTGAAATAACAAGCAAAATGGGGATTGATCAAGTTCATCCTGTTCATTCACTTCATGGAAACTTTATATACATATAATACCAATTTGCATGTGATATTATGATTTTTGTTTATTAGTAGTAATAGTGTTGTGTGTGTGTTTTTGTGATTTTTTTTTTTAGTTTTACACAATGAAAGTTAAAAGTAAATTGGGAACAGACGTATTCTCCATACTTTTCATGAATTAATGATAAATTACTCTTCAAGTTGATTTTTCGTGTGTATGTATATGGTTTAAGGATTAACCTTTTATAAAATATATCAAAAAAGTTATTTTAATGATTGAATCTCAGTGGATTAGTGATAATTGTGAAACAGATAACTATATTTTCATGATCCAAGTTTGAGTAGTAAGATATAAATGATATCATTTTAAATATGCTTATCTTGATGTGGATTTGTTGCATTTTGATGAAGTTGAGTCTTTCCTTTGNTTTCTGGAAGTTATACATGTTCAAAGTGTGAACTTGAACTCCCATGGGCCTGAAGCCTTATGCTTGTTACACATTTTACTTACATTGGTATTACCTGTTGAGCATAATTAAAATTTGATGTTAAATTTGCAGTTTAACATAATGTACTTTTGCATCAGAATTGACATTAGCCTATTTTGTGCATAGTTATTTCCTGCTTTTTGTCTGTACATTTGACAGCTTTGCTGCCTTGTTAACTTACTGATAGTAATATTGTGTTTATAGATTTTGTAAGGCTATACACTTAAAATGGCTGTGATATATTATGAATTTTAACAGAGTGTAGTTGGCCACCCCTAGCAAAACTGTTTACTGTTTGCAACAATTTTGTGATGTTTTAAACTTACAAATATAGCTAATCCAGTATTGATTTTGTGCACAATTTTGTGACAGGTATGTATTTTCTTTTTCCTACAAAAGGATGCTGGAAAATTTTGCTTGACCTATGAAGCCTCAATGACCAGACTGTTCAGGGAGGGTAGGACAGAAACTGTTCGCTCCTGCACAATAGATGCTGCCAACTTTGCCAGAGCCATGGATGACAAAACCAAAACTGTAAGTGTAACCTTTGATAAATTTAAGCTGATTATGATTGTACTGAAAATGACAGTTTTTTCTATGCATAGGAGTTGTAACATATTGTCAAATCATTGTCATTTCTATTTATCATTCCAGAAAGCTGAAAAGATGGCCCTGTTCAAAAAGGCATCAGAGACTCATCAGGAATCATACCGCCTGGCCATGACTGGCAATGGCATCGACAGGCACTTGTTCTGTCTATATGTGGTTTCAAAGTACCTCGAGATTGAATCTCCATTCCTGAAAGAAGTGCTAGGGGAACCATGGAGGCTGTCCACTAGCCAGGTATGTATCTTACAGCCCTGCTCCATGCCCCTCCCACCCCCTTCTCTCTCTCTCTCTCTCTCTCTCTCTCTCTCTCTCTCTCTCTCTACTTGAAAAAAGATGACACAGAGCAATTTGAGTAATAAATATAGAATAGTCCAATTATATAAATTTCTGATATGTAAGTTCAACCCTTTGATATGAAATGCCATATATGTATATAACATAATATTAATCGCCATTTACATTTTATTTTAGACACCGCACACCCAGACAGACAGATTGGATTTGTTGAAACACCCAGACCATATTTGTGCAGGAGGTGGCTTTGGGCCAGTAAGTCATGGTTAAGAGATACTGATGCATGCATGTGTGTGCGTGCACACACACACACACACACACACACACACACACACACAATTGTTTATTGGCAGTTTCTTTGTGGCTGTCATATTCATTTACTTATAACAGTTACTATTATGAGTGTAAAATTGAAGCCACCAATTAATTGTTTAAAAGTATATGTGTCTTTATATTGTAATGTCTAAATATGTGTTTCTCATGCCTGTCCCATTTAGGTTGCTGATGACGGTTATGGTGTGTCTTACATTATTGCTGGAGAGTACACAATCTTCTTCCACATCTCCTGCAAGAGATCCTGCGCAGAGACTGTAAGTACTATTTTATGTGTCACATCCATCCTTTGAAATATTTACCGTCCATTTTTCAAATTTCTAAATACCAAGTGATACATTTTGATCTTTATGTTCTCTTCTTTATTTATTTATTTATTTATTTTTTTTCAGAATGCAAAAAGATTTGGTCGGACCATAGTGAAGGCCCTGGATGATTTGAAGAATTTGTTTGAAGTGTGAGGTTTAACCTTGGTACTAATAACGTGTTGTGATCATTCTTTACACTTAATTTTGATATATAACAAAAGCAATGCAATGAATATCTACTTTGATTTTAATGACTGAGAAAGGGGATTCTAAGGAAGAAATTTATTGTGACAGCACAAGGTGGTGAGGAGTAATAGACAAGAAGTTTTTATGATTTCTGACCTCAAATACCAGACATTCAGACATTAGGGATGTACAATTTTCTTTAACTATCTCCATAAGCATTTCTTGTAAACAACCCCTAGCTGAAGAAGCAAGCTCCAAGGTTTCTTGATAGCTATTATAGAACGGAAGTGTAATGTTAAAGTACTGCTGATGGTATTTAATAACACAAAACAAGTAATGTGTTTCATAGCCTGTATTCCTATTAAATACATTTTCCTTTTTATAATGTCTATCCGTGTTCCTAATAGAATTTAGTTATTTATTATTTGCTGTGGTGTTAAGTGATATAATTATTTAAGGTGTACCATAGCATTGTAATAGTTATAAGATTTGTGAAGCTATGAATTGAATTTGTATCACAAACAGCTGCCATTCATATGAACTACTCATTTGTTTTGTTTGAATTTTATTTGTTTACTTTAAGATTCACTGTGCATTTTAGACAAGAGATGTAATTTTTTTTTGTCAAATATCCTTGCTTTAATTTTCCTATATCTTAGTGTAGTTAATACTGATATTACATAGAACAATGGAAATGAGTCCTATGTCGCAGTATATCTCCATAGCTGTCAGAAACTCTTTGATCTCAGTTTGAAATGAAAATTTGTTCCTGCTGATACGTGCAGAAGCATTTTTTCTTTAGTTCCAAACAGACCATGCCATATTGTCAAAAATTGATATTTGAATTACCTACATACAGTGCACAGACATTAGAGCCATAATAGTAATGTGATTTGTTTCTTTGATAGGGGTGGTGCTTTAATTTGTTCAGTATATCACCTTTTTCAATCATTTTGCATACTAAACATTGAACAGTTTTTTTATGTCAAAGAAATGCATACTTGGGATATGTGATTGACATTTTATTGAGGAATGAATTTATAAAACAAGAATATTCTTCCGTATGAATTAGGGTAGCATAGATATTAGGTAGTAGTATTAGTAAAATTCAAAACATTCAGATTGAATTGCCAAATACAGTTTAAAACTGGAACATACCAGGCTTGCAGATATGTATCAGAAATGATGAGTGTTGTTCTGTGTTGAAATTATACTCTGTATTCAGAAGTTGCAAAATTAATGCTTGGTAAACGGTGTTTTTATTTATTGTTTATCACTGATCTTTGAGAAATGAAAATCAAACCCAAGGAATTTAACAGGAAAACTATGCCTCTGCTTGTTATATTATTATTTGTTTTATTTTATTTATTTATTTACTTATAGTATTTCTTGTATTAAATCAAATGTATCTGTGTCAATTTCATGAGAAGCATATTCATATTGCACAAAAAAGATGTCTCAATATGTCATTTCTCTGCTATGACAAGCTACTTTATCTACATGAGGTTGTTCCTTGGTTTTTATTAGATTCATCGCTTGGTATCATCTGGTATAAAGAAGTATGCTATGAACGACAAAATTAAGTGGATTTGCAGTTTTAGTTTTGGTCAAAATATTTAGTCATAACTCCTGTCCAAGTTTCATTACATTTCACCTCTTTATCTGTCTAGGCCATGGTGTGAGGATGTTTTATTGTACATATCAGATACTGTCAAAATTATTTTAAAAAAGTAGAACAGTTATAAGACACATTTTGTTTGACAAGCATTTAGTGCACCTGTGTTTTGTGAACTTGTCTAGTCTGTCCAAAAGTGGGAATACTCAGATGTTGTCTTTTAGAATTTCTGCGTTTATATACTAATATTATTTCATTGTTTTGGTTTTATCAGTTGTGAGTCTTCCTTTATACCTACTGTGTTTTAATCTTGGTTTAAACCACATAATGGTGTGTACAGTGAGTGAGGTTCATGTGCAAAAAATACACGTTTTAAGAAAGAAACAATAAAAAAGATTTTACACTGTCTTAGTCTGTTGTATTATTATATCAGAAGAGCATAACCTTTACTATTTTTATAACTATGAGGGCG